TTTTTCCTGATTATTTTCATGTGGTGTCACATTTTTGGGTTCCACTCTACACCTTTACAGCTTGTTATTTTAGTCAAAGCAGCATCATGAATACAAAGACAGTCTTTTATTTTCTTGCCTTCATGCAAGCAGTTGAAAAAAACAGCTTTATTCAGTTCAGCTGTGCAGCACAACATGTCTCCAGTCTCACTCTGAAGACACTACAGCACCTTCCTCATCCAGTCTAGTGTTACTTTTACGCCCCCTAGCTGCTGTAACTTTCACCATCACACTCGTCTGCACATCACACAGAGGTTGAGCTCTGAACATGTTTTCCAGCAGTGATGCTCTAAGAGGCTCTGACTGCCTTTATTGTGGTCTACGAACATAAAATGATCATCATGTCTGCAGCATTTTGTGGTTATTGATTACTACCAGTAACTCAGTTAATACCTCCAGCTGCTCAGAGTGCTCTCAGAACTCACTTATTGTTCTCTGTGCCTGAGCAAAATTGGATTTGCAGAATTTACATCGCATTAGCGCTGCTAGAGCACACTGGACTTCTTCGGGTGGTAACAGTTTATGTCATTGTTTATGGCTTTCTAAGATGAGTTTCCTGATTCCAAAGAAGCAGTGGAAGCAAACAGCAGGTGGCTCATCGTAATCAATTGTGCAGTGTAGATTCAGAATCAGCCTGAATGGAAAGTTTTCAGTCAACTCCCAGAGGTTCATGTGAGGGGATATGTTGGTGCAGCATCCTACCAAACACCAGAGTTCCTGACATCTTAAAGCCAGGAAGCTGGGCATTGTCACATTTTATAGGGATTATTTAGGGTTTCACATGAGATATTTGGACATTTTTGAACTTATGCTGACTTGGTTTCCTGGTGTGACTTCATCTAAAGTACAGCAAACAGACAACGTTTGGATTTAAATGCATCCACTTTCTGGTGGAATTCGTTTGGAAATTTACAGAAGATGAAGATTACTATCTTATTTGTAACCTGTTGTTTACACGATATAAACTGTGCCTTTGTATTGTGGTCATTTTCTTACCTATCTTCTTATTACATCCACACAGAAACAACACATATTACAGTTACAGACTGTCTCACTACATCCCTGCACTTGTATTTTGAATGTAAATTATTTGCTAAAAAGGAGACAAAACGTGAACATGAACTTGATTGTATTGTTTCTTTCTAATCATCCATTCATCTCATAATAAATACATTTATTGTGAAGTCTTTTACCTACAAAAATCAAACCAAAACCACATCCTTGTGTCCAGACAACTCCACGTTCATCTCATCTGACCACAGAACTGATGACAGGAAGCTTTCTCCTTTGTCCAGCTGAGCTTTTATGTGTCCATCTTGAAGTAAAGTCCTCTTTGTTTTTCATCCAAGGAGACCAGCTTTATTCAATGTCTGCTGGAGCGCCTGTCTTAAAATGTTGCAACCAGAACTGCTCTTAGTGGTGATCCTTGGATTCTTCTCTTCTTCTCAGNTTTGGGTGATCTGACCCTTTAGTCATCGACCTCACTGAACAGAGCAGCTGTTTGTTAGCATCAGCACTCATTTCCTGGATGCTTCAGGAATAGAACCAAGAACCTTCTAGCCTTAAGCTACGACGGTGTTGTTCTAAAGCGATGCCACTTCATGATAAAAAGAATAGCTTCAGGGAAAACTGCTAGTTTTGAAAATGATGATTTGTTCAGCTTTGTTTAGATTTGTTCAAGCCCTGTGGTGCTGTGATGAGCTCATTTTGCATTCCTGCCACTGATTTATGTTAGTAAGACAGAGGGTGAGGAATCAAAGGTCTGCCTACCATGTAGAGCATGTTGCTTGCCGGTGGACTGACAGACGACCGCGCCCTGTTGTGTTCCCTCACACATTCTTCGATGAACTTCTCATCACTGATGTCTGGCAGTGAGAGCGAGCACACGGCCGAGTGCAGGATGATCCAGGTCCACAGGAACATCTCCATGCTGCAGCAGATACGACGCAGTGGGTGAAGGCACGGGAACTGCTGTTTTTCAATCACACCGGCATCTGTCACACTGTCACAGGAAATCACAACTAAAGAGGAACAAGACGCGTGTGTGACTTTTAGGAGGAGTAAAACACGACCCGCCCCAAAAGCACATATTTGTTCAAAAAGAAAAAGTATGCATTTTGAAGCTGTGCACAATGAAGTTGTCGGAGTGAGTGATGAACAAGGGTGTGATCCAGTCAGACTGTCAGTTTAACGTTTGGTTTCACCCTGCTTTCATTATGCTCCTGATAAAGACCTGAATTCACAAGTAAAGGTGGAACTTGCAAGATTTTTAGCACACATATAGTATGACAGCTATCATGTACAGATATAGTGGAGTGATGGCATTCTTAGTGTGTGCCAGCTCATGTCAGTGCATGTTGGTGGGGGCACTGTGAGCAGCCGCGTTGTCATGGTGAAGCAGCCACAACTTGTCTTGACACAACTCTCGCCTCTTCTTGCTCAATGAACGAAGCAAACGCCACAGGATCTCTTTGTGCCGGTTGATGGTCTGAAGGGAAAAACTGGTAGTTTGGGTTTGAATTCTATCTTTTGTGACACCAGTCTGGAACTTTTCTGACACACCTCCTGTGCATACAGTGTCACAGTGAGGCTACTCTGCAGCTATTTTTTGAACATTTGCTTCTCATTTTTAAAGAGCAGAACAAAAATACAAATAAAGCCATGTGCTGATCAGTGGCAGCAAGTTGATTAACTTGAATAGACCTCAGACATAATCTCTTAAACCTCAAATGTTTTTCTTTATTTTACGTAGTGGGAGGCTGCTTCAGTTTCACTGTAGAACGGAGAGATACAGAAATTCATTCCTGCCAACAGCCATCACCGTGAAGAATAAGTCTGACTGACTGACTGATTATTATTGTTGTATATGTATGTTATATTGATTAAAAAAAAGTGAGCTTTTTACAATATTGAATTTCCCTTCTGGGATAAATAAAGTATTTTTCATTTAATTTCATATCAGATACACTGGTGGGCTGTAAAGAATAGAATACAATAGAATAGAATAGAATAGAATAGAACATTATTGATCCCTTTGGTGGAAACCTCAGGGAAATTGCTGAAGGTGGCTCAGTGGTTAGCACTGTTGCCTCGCAGCTAGAAGGTCGCTGGTTCGCGTCCCGGTGAGGACACCCGGGATCTT